ATGGCCTAACCTACATTAATATGTGCACATTTTACAACTTTTTTTTTCAGAAATCATAATTACTTTATTAATAAACAGATAAAGATATTGCCTTGTTTGGGAATGGTTTGTTGCCATTATAAAGTGATATTTGCCAAATGAGGAAATAATTTCATTTTGATCAGTGTGAAAATCTGTTAAAAGTATTGTTTAGTTTAGTGGTTCTCAACCTTCCTAATGCTTCAGCCCTTTAATTCAGTTCCTCATGTTTTGGTGACCCCAATCATAAAATTAGTTTTGTTGCTACTTCGTAACTGTAACTTTGTTGTTATGAATCATAATGTAAATATCTGACATGCAGGATATCTGATTTGTGACCCTTATGACAGGGTCATTTGACCCCCAAAGGGGTCACGACCCATGGCTTAAGGACCACTGGTTTAAGAGCTTAGTAATTTCTGAAAACAGCCTCCAAGACAGGCAAGTTAAACTGTGGTTTAGTTTATTCAGAACCTAGGCAAGTTAAACTGTGGTTTAGTTTATTCAGAACCTTACAAGTTTAATTAAGTTTTTCTGGACAGACAGTTTGTTTCACAAGGCACTTTAGGATCTGCCACTGCTAGATGTGTAAAATGGTTGAACTGTGGTTGTTAAATTACGGGTCATAGATGTTATCTTGACCATTAAAATCTCAAGAGCATGTGTAAGAGCCAATAGAGAGGCTCACAGAGATGAGCACCTTTTCCTCAGGTTGAGTAAGTACACGGTTTGAGGCCAGTCTTGGTGGTATGCACCTATAATCCCAACATAGGAGGCAGAGGCAGGAGGATGTCTGTGAGTTGAAGCTAGTCTGGTCTACATAAAGTTCCAGGCAAGCCAGGGATACATAGTTGAGACTGTCTCAAAACAACAGAACAACACCATTAGGTGGTGTTCCAAAATACACAAGGATAGCAGCTAATAGCTCTGAGGCCACAGGATTTTGTGGGTATTCAGCAGTTCTGTGATGTTAACTTCCATGATGTTAGCTGTCTTTGACCTTGTTGAATGACTAATAGGGTGTTTTGTTTTGTTTTTTAAGCTTTTGGGGGGGGGCTCTTACAGGAAAGGGGCTATCGGTGCCTGGATTCTGTGGAGCTAGAGTTAAAGGCAGTTGTGAGCCACCCAACATCCCCCTGAAGAGTAGGAAGCACTTCTAAGCACTGAGCCAACTGTCCAGCTCCCTAATAGCTTCTGAGTGATACTTTACCCCAGGCCGCATTTCAACTCCATTACCTTTCCAGGTGCCTGGCCTCCATCACAGGCTGACACTTTGGTACCACCTCAGCACCTAGTTTCTATTACTGTTGTTATTTTGCTGTGCTGATAACATGGCTCCAATCAACTGTAAATTCTTGAAGTTTTATTTTCATCTAATAGCTTCCCACAAAATAAACACTAAAAATCAGATAGGAACTGTAATGAATTTCATATCTACTAATTTTTTTTCCTGTCGTGGTTCCTCAATTTCTCTAGATTAACCAGAGGGCTAGAGAGAGAGCTCAGTGGTTAAGAGCATATACTACTTCCCCAGGGGACCAGAATTCAGTTCCCAGCACCTGTAAGGGTGACAAATTCCAGTTCTGGGGCATCTAACACCTGGCTTTGTCAGGCACCTATACTCATGTGCGTATACCTACATACAGGCACACACATACACATAATTAAATATCTTCTAAAAGGATCAGAGTGTAGTGTTTTATTGACCTTAGTTTCAGGAGACCAGTTTGGTTTGGCAGTGTCCATCAAATTTTTCAGTGCTCACATTCTTTGACTCATTTTACCTTTAGGGGTTGTACTTTGTGTAAGAACATTCATTATATGTATGGCAGTGGATTTACCATAATCACAAAGATGGTTTTCCCAGGGTGAGGCTTATCTTTTGTACTCCAGATATACTGACCCCTTCGATTTCCCCCAAATGTAGAAAACTCAGCTGCATAATTTGTGGTAGTGGGGGACTGTATTCCTGCTCGCTCTCAAAAAAAAAAGTATCCATTCCAGTACTGTTTGAGGCAACAGAAGACTGAGGTACCCTGTGTCTGACTCCACTCCTGTTTCCATGTGCAGTGGAGTTTCCAAAGACATGCATGACCAACCCTCAAGAGAGCTGCTTCCAGAGAGGGGGGCTTGGAGTTGATAGCCGCCACTTCAGTGTTTATCTTTTTCTCCTTTCCTACCATGTGCCTACATTGGTTTTCAAACAGAAAAGTTGCGGTAGATAGTCCGCATCAATGATGAAAAGATGTTGGATGCTAGACCACTGTGTACCCACGTGAGGGTGGTCTGCCTCTTTCACATAGCACATGGATTCTACAGGGCTTGCAGTTATTTTAAAACTACTGGGCCAGTGAGCTAGCTCTGCTCTGCAGATGAAGGCTGTCTTTCAACCTGAAGTCCTGGGTTTGGTTCCAGGAAGCCAGTGTGCAAAGTAGCCAGTGCATGTACGTGTGCACACACGATTGTAATAAAAGTTAAAACTATTCCAAGAAAACAGCTAAATTGTCATGCTAGTAATCAAAGGAAAACATTGAGTTTGCGTGAAGACTTAAGAAATAGCACCGATTAAATGGAGGCCTGAGATGCAGCCTGGAATTGATACAGGAATGAGCAGAGAAAACTAGTTGTTTGGAGGGCTTTTTACAAAGCAATAAATGAGGGAGACCTGTGTCTATTCCATTGCACTTCCAGAAACACCATGAAACCATGTAAAGGTTTCCTATAACTAGTCATAAAATTTGGAGCACCCCAAATTATGTGTGAGCATGCTGGGTAAGCCTTTAATTCCAGCATTCTGGATGTAGATACAGGAGGATACCTATGAGTTTGAGGCCAGCCTGGTCTACATAGTTCCAGTACAGGACTTCATAGACCCTGTCTCAAAAAACAAGAATTCAAGTACATTCATGGGAAAGATCTTGAAGATGAAGTGAAAATAAAAATTTAAAGAAGTTTCATACATGATCACCCAATGGCAGGATTTATAGGCTCCTTGCCATCTGTTTATTGAGCACCTGAAGGAGGGTGAGTGGTGGGATTAGAAACCCCAGCAGCTGTCTTCCAGGCAGTGGGTATAGACATGGGCACCTATAAGGATCTGGGTTCTCTGGCAAAGGTAGGTCTAAGATGTGAGATGGTGGGTAGCCAGTGAGAGAATCGAAGACTGCAGTGGGCCCTGGAAGGTCATTGGCAGAGTAAGAAATGGCTTGTTAGAAAATACACACACCAACACCAACACCAAACTGGCTTTAGACTGACTTCATTTGGTCACTGTAAGTAATGGCCATGTATTTGGAAGATTATCAACTGAGTGAACCTGGATTTAGAGTGAACTAGCTACTAGCAGCTTTCCCTCAGTCTTTGTGGGGTTTTTTTTTTGTTTTGTTTTTTTGTGCCTATTCTGGGCCTAGAACCTGGTAAGCAAGCAAACGCTACCTCTGAGCCACACCTGCAGCCCCATCCCTCAATCTTTCTCATTTTTGGCTTTTCAAGACAGGGTTTCTCTGTGTAGTCCTGGCTATTCTGGAACTCACTATAAACCAGGCTGGACTTGAACTCAGAGATCTGCCTGCCTCTGCCTCTGTCTCCTGAGTGCTGGGATCAAAGGTGTGCATCACCACCTTCCAGGTTCAGTCTTTTCAAATGAATTTGGTGCCTGCATCATGTAGCCCTTCCAAAGTGTAGAGATGTTGATGTGTGCTGGAAGTAGTTTGAAAAACTTACTTCCTATAATCCCAGCACTGCGGGAAGATAATTTGTCCATCAGCCTAGGCTACATGATGAACCTGTAACAGGTCCCCAGACCTCAGCACAACATACACCATGACAGTACCATTCAGGCCTTGGAACCCAGCACAAAGGCAGCAACACCTGCCAAAAATGAAAACAAAGACCTAATCTGTCAAAGTCCAGAGTTCTGGGCAAGTCCCTAAATGTACTATGCTTGTTTTTTGGCTTCTGTAGTTCTGCTTCTGGCTAACTGTTCTTGTTAACTGAAGTGTGTCAACCCAGGTGTGTGTGTGGGGGGGCGGGGGGGGCGGGGGAGACGGATATCCAGTGTAGTCACCAGCTGGCTAATAAAGTTTCTATTGGCTTGAATCTGTGTCTCAGTTGTCTTCTCTGGTGGATACCTCAACAAGCCCTTGTGTAAATCCTGTGGACCACACCCGCACAGGCTTTTGTTGTTTTTGAGAGGGTCTCACTATGTAGCTCTGGCTGGGTTGGAGCTAGCACCCAGTCATCTGCCTGCTCTGGCTCCTGAGTGCTGGTTAAAGGCATCCACCGCCACAGCCAACAAAATCCCCTACTTTTAGGCAGGGTATGGAGCTCAGCTGGTAGAGTCCTTGCATAACACCTGACACCCCAAATTCAGTCACCAGCATAATCAAGTTTTATACGCTGGAGAGAAGGAAAGTTTGTAAATGTGATCTCCACGTCACTTCTTAGACTCATACCAGTTTCATCTCACAGGGTGGAGAGGAGGGCAGAAAGTAGTGAAGTGGAGTGACTCCTTATAAAATCTGTGTATTAGAATTGTTGCTTCATGGGTGTGTTACCCTGTGATTAACTCTAGGCCCTTTGTTTAAAGGTCTAGTTTTGCTACATGTTTAGGCACGTGCCTTTAATCCCAGAGGCCAGTAGATCTCTAGAGTTCAAGGCCAGTCTATATCGGGAGACCCATCTCTAAACCTCTCCCCCACCCCCTTTTATAGTAGGGCAGGGAGCCAATGCCTGTAATTCCAGTACTTGGAGATAGGCAGGCCTACTGCAAATTTGAGGTCAGCAAAAAAAGGCAATAGATCCGAAATTATGCACCTGTAGCAAGGTTAGAGCCCCAAATACTCTTTCTTTTGGCTTTCTGAGGTTGGGTTTTACTGAATACACCAGCAAAGATTTTTCTCCCTCTCCCTCCTGAGTGTGAGGAATACAGGCATGAGCCAAATGCCTAGGTAGAGCCCCAAATAGTCTATATGAAACAACTATTAATCATGTCTGTTTTAATAAGATTCTGGTCGAAGGGATCACACTTATATAAATTACATTTTTCCAGTTCCAGGACCAGGTAAGGGCAGAGCAGTCTGGTATCCATAAATGTAAAGGTGATGGCTCCTGGTTAGGACCATTTCTTCGTGACGTTGAGATGGTCTAGCTGGTCGGCAACGTATCTGTGCTCGGGGAACTTGGAAGTGGCGGCCGCCTTGATGGCCTCAAAGGCCTGGGCCCTGCGCTCCGCGGCGTGGCGGTACTCCTGCTCCGCTGTCATGTAGGGCATGCTCAGCCAGTAGTGGTTCTCGGCCTCCACCTCCAGGCGACGGATCATGTTCTCCTTCATCCGGAAAGACACGTTCCGCGGCCGCCGGTGCTTCCCGATCCACTGATGGCCCGGAATGCGGCCGCGGAGGAGGACGGCGGTGAAGAACATGGCGTCTCCTGAGGAAAGCACACGAAAGCCGAGGTCGCTGAGACCCGGAGCAGGAAGCGAGCAGCAAGCGTGCACGCTGGCTCCCACGTCCCGCGCCCACCGGGCCGATGCCAGAGCACGGTCTGCCCCCGCCGGAAGTGGGGGGCCGGGTGCCGGGCCGAAGCCAGAGCACGCTCTGCCCCCGCCGGAAGTGGGGGGCCGGGTGCCGACCACACTGCAGGGGACGATGGGCCTCCCAGAGAACCCACCTGGCCCACGAACTCACGACGACCTCGCCTCACAGTCCCTCAGACACTGACCCACGCGAGGACGCACGCGCGCACTTCTTCCGGGGCTTGCTGGGGCCCCGGTGCGAGACTTCCGCTCTCGCGAGAGAAGTCTTCTGCGCCTGCGCGGAGCGGGCGACTCGTACTGGACGGTAGGATTCAAATGAGTGGCGCGCTCGAGGGTGAGCGTGAGGGTCGGCGGTCGGCTCCGCGTCTCTCAGCATGAACCCTATCCAGAGTTTCCACTGTAAGCTGCGGGGTCTGGCCGCCGTGCTGGACGGCGAGGCGGCCCGGCTGCTGCGAGCGCTGGACGGCGAGGACGGCGGTGAGTGGGCGCGGTTCTCCGTGGGCGGGGGTACCCGCGAGGGTGGGCGAGGCTGACTGCGCTTTCCAGGCGTCGTGTGTGCGTTGGGTGCTTGTCAACAGCGTCCACATTCGGCTGATCGAAAAATGCACTAAGCCCTGTTCTGTGTATGTGTGAGTTGAAGCAGACATCTGCGTTTTCTTCAGTAATGTCGTATTTCCAGTACAAATACTCAGTACTGCTGTGTTTTGTTTTTTAAACAAATAAAATTCACCACCATTCTTACTCGTATTAGAGATTAAAAAATAATAATAATAATTGCATGGCCGGGAGTAGTGGCACACACCTTGAATCCCAGCCAGCACTCAAGAGGTAGAAGCAGGTGGATTTCTGTGAGTTCTAGGCCAGCCTGCTCCCCATAGGGAGCTCCAGACCGACCATGCTCATAGTGAGATCCGGTTTTTTTTTTTTTTAATCGTTGCAAAAGTGGTTCAGATTTTGAGATTATTTACTTAAAATGTCATAATTATAATGTATCTTAAGTAATATTGCACCCTTTAGACACAGATTCCTCTTACTTATGACTAACTCTCCATTTGGAAATGTTTTTGTGACTATAAAAGTAACATGCACGGTAGGAAATTTCGGATACAGAACAGTAACAAGAATACATATTTTCTGTTTAACTCAAAAGAAACATCACTTACTGTTTTAGCAATATTTCTACCATTTTTATTTTAGGGGGTTAAAATGTGCTTTATTTGTTTATGTTTTTGAGCTAATGCTGCATAATAGACTAAAATGCATTAGTATTTTCGACTATATGAAAATTGCTTTTCACAGTTTGCTAGTCAATATTCTTATCAAAACATTAGCTCTGCATAAGCTTCATTTGTTTTTTACAATAAAAACTTGTAATAATTCTTTAATTATTATGTAAAAATTATGCAAAAGATGATTGCCAGCAGTTTCACTTTCGATAACTGTGCAGGCTAATTTTATGTCAGCTTGACACAGGCTAGAGTCATCTGAGAGGAGGGAACCCCAGTTGAGAAAATGCCTTTATAAGACTGGGCTGTAGGGCATTTTCTTAATTAGTGATTGATGGGGGAGGGCCCAGCCTATTGTGGGTAGTGCCATCCCCGGGTTGGTGGTCCTGGGTTCTGTAATAAAGCAGCCTGAACAAGCCATGTGAAGCAAGCCAGTAAGCAGCTCCCCTCCATGGCCTCTAGGTCAGCTCGTACATCCAGGCTCCTAGACCGTTTGAGTTCCTTCCACTCCCTTCAGTGATGAACTATGATGTGAAAATATAAGCCAAATAAACCCTTTCCTCCCCAAGTTGCTTTTGGTCATGGTGTTCCATTGCAGCAGTAGAAACCCTAACGAAGACAATGACTACAGTGATGGGTGATTGAGTGGACTTATAAATTATCTCTGAGATAATTTGCATACAGTCAAACTCGTCAGAATGCATTTCACTGGATCTTAGTATAGTCAGTTGTGCAGCTGTTAGTACAGAAGGGTTAGATTTTGATAACTTTCTGAAACCTTGTTACGGAAGCCTTGCTTCTGGCTTTACAGGTGTTTCTTTACTCCAGTGAACCCCAAACCCAAACTGATTCATTAAAATAGCTGGCCGGGCGGTGGTGGCACACGAAAAATTTAGTGTAATTCCTTAGACATAGCATGGTCTACAGAGTGAGTTCTAGGACAGCCAGGGCTACAGAGAAACCCTGTCTTGAAAAACAACAATAAAGTAAATACATAAATAAATAAATGAAAAACCTTTAGTGAACTTTTAATAAACCTTTAATAAATCTCCAGGCATGGCAGCCCATGTCTTTGATTCAGAACTAAGAGGCAAAAGCAGATGGATCTGTGAGTTCAAGGCCAGATCAGGCTCTGATCAACACAGCAAGGGCTATACAGTGAGACCTTATCTCACCAAATAAAGTACACCTAACCGACAAATGTCCTACAGCTGACACAATGGAATAAGACCCACTCTACAGTGTGGATGAACATGGGGAATGATGCTAACGATGAGGACTACATACTATAGGGTTCCTTTTACAGGAATAGGCAGGTCTACTCACACAGAAAGTAGAGCCTGGAGCCCGTGTGATGGACAGTGATAGGATTACGGGGAACAACTGTTTACTGGCATGACAGCTATTTTCTTTCTTTGAGACAGGGTTCCTCTGTGTAGTTTTGATACCTGTCCTGGATCTCACTCTGTAAACCAGGCTGGCCTTGAACTCACAGAGATCCTCCTGGCTCTGCCTCCTGAGTGCTGGGATTAAAGGCATGTGCCACTGCTGCCCGGCTCCCAGCAGGATTTTTATGTCTAAGGAATAAATTTTTCATTTTCCTCATGCTTATTTGTGGGAGCCCACAAAGGTTTTAGTGAGATCTGAGCTTGCTTTACACAACAGGGCTGCATTAGGGGATGGCTGACCACGTGCATGGTCACCAGGTGTTTGGGATGGCTGTGCTGGGGGAGGTCTTTTGCCTCACCTCTTGACATTCCTTTAAAAAGCACTTTAGTAGAGACAGAAGGGGCTGGTGGATTAGGATCCAGGCCCTCCCGAACTATCCTGTGTTTCTAACACTCTCTCTATGTGTGTGTGTCTGTGTCTGTGTCTGTGTCTGTGTCTGTGTCTGTGTGCGTGTGTGTCCTTCTATCTACAAATTTCTCACTTCTCTAACTTGGGGGGAAAAGAAGGAGCAGGTCTCTCTCACTTACTGAACTTTTTTCCTCCCTTTAAGACTTGGAAGATTCGCCAATGAGAATTTTATATGACCTTCACTCAGAAGTTCAGACTCTAAAGGTACTTATTTATCATTTTTCCATGGTGGGTAATTTTTCTGTGCTTAAGTTGTTATGGGTCTGGGTCGCTCAGAGATCCACCAGTCAGACAACGACTAAGATTTTAATAAGAGGCATTTTATTTACTGGCACCTGACTGCTTGGCCCCAGGACTGCACCTGAGAGTGCTCACAAGCTGCAGCATTTAACCAAATCAACCCAGGGCTTATCAAGGCACAAACCAAAGATGACAGGCATCCTGCCTGCGTGTAGGCAGGGGCTTACTTTAACATATTTACCTTGCGGGTGTCCTAGTCGTCGTCTTTTTGAGCAGAGTAAGCAAGCTTGATTACAAAAGCAGAAATGGCAGTCAGTCTTGTGACCTACTGTCTCGCAGGAGAGGCAGATTTTAGGAGATCAGTCAATTTTAAGAGTAATCTTCAGCCGGGCGGTGGTGGCGCACGCCTTTTAATCCCAGCACTCGGGAGGCAGAGCCAGGCGGATCTCTGTGAGTTCGAGGCCAGCCTGGGCTACCAAGTGAGTTCCAGGAAAGGTGCAAAGCTACACAGAGAAACCCTGTCTCGAAAAACCAAAAAAAAAAAAAAAAAAAAAGAGTAATCTTCAGTGTCTGGGGAAAGTGGGAGGTAGGCAGTTAGGGTACAGCCTGTAGAGTCTAGAGGCTTCCGTGTTAGAGGCTGTTTTGTTTTTTGGTCTCTCGAGCATAGTAAGTCTAAACTTTACACATAATGATAACCGTCACAAAGTCACTTAGATCATGTGTACTATATTTGCTTTCCTCCTGAAAGGATGATGTTAACACTCTTCTTGGTGAAGCAAGATTGGAAAGTCAAGAAAGCACACGTTTCATAAAGGCAACAAAAGTACTGATGAAAAAAAATTCAGCAGACATCGTGAAACTGAGGGAGTTTTTCCAGAAGTATGGCTATCAAGCACGTGACAAGGAAGAGTCAGGTTAGATTGATTTGCATTTCTTAGATCTCCGTGGGGAAGATGGCTTGCTTTCTGTCTGTCAGGTCGTTGAGTGAGCATTCAGCACTTCGTGCCGGTCAGTGGTCCGCCGGAAAGTGGTCCTTGTGGGTCTTGAATCTGAGGAACGTCTCGGACAATAGCAAGTCTGGCCTACATAGTAAGACTTGCAGCAAGACGTAAAACTGCCCTTGCTCTCCGTTCCACAGTGCTGGATGGAAGTGTCTTTGAGCTGTTTAAATGAGAAAGGGTGACTAGTTAGCTCTGCCAGTAAGGGTACTCCCTTAGATTCCTCCTCTGCAGAACAAGGTGCTTGAGCTGTATAAATTGACAACTTTTTTAGTTGTAAACGCCTGTAATCCTAGGAGCCAAGGGAAAGAAAAGGGTCCCCAGTTGAAAACTTGTTATTGCTCAGAGCCTAATAACTGCCCTTGCTTCTTAGTGTAAGCTGGGGTATTTAATGTATGTACTTCCTGAGGGTGCATAAAGAGCAGTTCGGAGTGAGCGTCGTGCAGCGCTTTGGAGGCCAAGGTACACAGATGGCCAGATGGGGCCAGCTGCTGTGTCGTTGCCCACTGTTAATGCCGCTGCCGCCCGCTGCCGTTCTGCCCATATCTCTAGTGTGCTTCAGTGTCTTGATCTTTTATGAAGATGGTCTTTGTATGTACGGAAAGCATTAATGAAATCAAACAAGTAATATATGTGTGGTAAGTATGTTAGTCAACATGCTGTACTAGAATTCAGTTTACTTTCGAAGTTAGAAAGTGTGTGATGTAATTTGCTTTCCTCCTAAAATAATCATAGATTCAAATGCTCCTCTCCTTCTCTTTCGTACTTGGGCACCTACAAGTCAAGTGTATGGTTGGCAAGAGGGCTCTGGGTAAGGCACTTGTCACCTAACCCGACTGCCTGCATTTGGTCTCCAGGACCCGCGAGAGGAGAACAGTCATTGCCACATGTACCCTGTGGCACACACACAAAATGAACAAAATGTAATTGAAAATTTTTACAAAATTAAAAGTATAAAATGATATTGTTTCAGTTTGTGTTAAATCTAGATTATACACTAATTCCCTAATAATACTTTCAGAAAACACTAAGACTGATCAATCAGTAATCTATTGAAGAAGTAGGAAGTTGGATTTTATTTGTGGGTGTTGGTTTTTCAAAGCAGTTCCATTTCCCTAAAGTGTCTAGATGGAATACAAGTAGGTAGGTTGTTTATATCAAACTTACAGAAGAGAAGGTTGAAATGAAAGCTTCAAAGGGTCAAGATTTCACCGACATGGGACATTTGGGATGGGCTATTCTGTGTTCTTTTAATAATCAGGAGATTTCCTGTCTTAATGTCTGACCAGAATTTACCTCTTTGACTTTTCCTCTCAGTATGTGAGCACAAAGTCAGTGCCTCGGCCTCAGAGTTGGCTGTGTGTGACGACGTTCAGAAGCCTGCTGTGGGGGACGAGCCGTCTGATCCATGTGTTCCGAGCACTTCTGTCTCTGAGAAGCCCCTACGCAGCCCACAGCTTTCAGACTTTGGACTGGAGCGGTACATAGTCTCCCGAGTCCCACCAAACCCTCCCCAGACAGCTGACAGCCTTAAAGAAGAACGCATATCTGAAACCCCTCCTGCCAAAGATTCTTCTGTCACAGTGCTAAAGACTCCCCGGTGTGCTCTGAAGATGGATGATTTTGAGTGTGTAACTCCTAAATTAGAACACTTTGGTATATCTGAATACACTATGTGTTTAAATGAAGATTATACCATGGGACTTAGAAATATGAAGAACATGAAAAGGTAAGCAACTTGAAATTTTTTTATTAATTTTTTTGTTGTTTTTTTTTTTCGAGGCAGGGTTTCTCTGTGTATCTCTGGCTGTCCTGGAACTTACTCTGTAGACCAACCTGGCCTCTAACTCACAGAGATCCACCTGCCTCCATCTCCCTTAGTTCTGGAATTAAAGACATGTGCCACCATCGCCCGGCTAGCACTTGAAATTTTTTAAAGATTTATTTTTGTTATTTTTAATTACATGTGTGGCTATGTGCTGGTGAGTGCAGGTGCCCTCAGAGGCCAGAGATGTTGGATCTCCCTTGGAACTGGAGGTACATGCAGTTGTGAGCTGTCTGATGTGGGTGCTGGGAACCAGACTCCGGCCCTAGAAGAGCCATACGTGACACTAACTGCTGAGCCCCTTGAAAATATTTTTAATTCTTTGAAAACTTTATACAGTGTTTTTGATTATACTCCCCCCTAATTCCTTTAGCAACTACCGTCCCCCAATTCATGTCCTTTTTTTTTTTTAAATAACCCATGGAGTCTGATTTGTGCTGCCCATATACTGCTGGAGCATAGTCTACCTTCCAGGGACCAGACCCTTAAAGGAGACAGACTCCCCCTCTCCCAGCAGACGATAGTAGCCTGTAGCTCCTATGCTAAGGGTGGGACTTGATGTCCGTCCTCCTCCTCCATGTTGGAATTTTGTAGTTTAACCTTGTGCATTCTGTCAAAACTGTGCGAGTCCCTCTGTGCAGCTGCCTGCCTTGCCAGGAGAGCACTGTTTGAATGCAGTCATCTACTGCCTCTGGCTCTTAGAGTCTTTCCACCTCTTCTGCTAAGATGATCCCATTTAGGGTTGAGCCACACCTTGCTTTGTAGATTTGTATATTTAAAATAAAGATGTATACTACTTAAATATTTAAAGTAAAAGATAAGTATATCAAATATATTTTTCAATTATTTTAATGATTTCTTCCATTGGTCTTTATTTCATAAACCAAAACTGAACTACCCCAGACTGAAATATTGTAAATTGAAGTTTTTCTTCAAAGGTTGAATGTTAACTCTTGTGACTTTACAGTTCCCCTCTGAATAGTGCCAGTGGAGAGGCCATAGGGACAGGGCCTGTGACCAGTGAGAATTCTTTAGCCATTCCTGGTTCCATAATCGAGCAGCTGGAAAAAACTGGTGAGTTTAAAAAATTAGCTTCTCCTTTTTACTCTTTCCTGGTTAACTTTGTACAAAATGATTCTCTAATTTTAGATTATTAACCTTAGGTAGTTTACTACATCTTTTTTGTTTGTTTGTTTGTTTTTAAATGTGCACATTTGTCTGTGTGAGGGTACTGGATTCCTTGGAACTGAAGTTACAGACAGTTGTGAGTTGCCATGTGGGTGCTGAGAATTGAACCTGGGTCCTCTGAAAGAGCAGCCAGTGCTCTTAACTGCTGAGCCCTCTCTCCATCCCCCCTTACTGCATCTTTTTAATTGGTGGTACTGGGTCTTATTCAGTACCATTCCACTTAAGTTCAGCTTGATTTCATGGGGGAGAGAGATACATTTTTCTGATAATTTTTTTCTTTCAACTATCTTTATTTCATGTGTGTTTGATTGCCTTCACATATGTCTGTGCCCCACACGTGTGTTCCTAGTACCCTTGGAGTCCAGAAGAGGGCATTGGAGCTGCTGGAACTGGAGGTTTACAGGTAGTTGTGAGCCACCATATGGATGCTGGGAACTAGACCTGGTTCTTCCACAAGAGCAGCCAGTGCTCTTAATTGCTGAGCCCAGCAATAATAAGTTTTCTGTCCAGCCCCAATAAGTTTTCAGCATTATTTCTGGTTATGTGCAGTGTGTGTCAGGTTTTTGTTCTCCACAGTTTAACCTACTCTGGTTGGAAGTGTCCATGTGGGTTGTGTGGAGGCCAGAGGTTGAATAGAGTGTCTCCCTGATTGTTTACCACCTTAGCTTTTGAGATGGGTTCTCTTATTGAAGCTGGAGCCCACATTGATTTGACTATGCTGACTGGCCAGTGAGCTTCAGGGGTGAGCCTGCCATTCCCCATCACTGGAGTTACTACTACATAGTGCCATGGCCCCCAAAAGGAGGGGCACTATTAGAGGTGTGGCCTTGTTGGAGGAAGTGTGTCACTGTGGAGGCGGGCTTCGAGGTCTCATGCTCAAGCCCAGGCCAGTGAGACCATCTACTTCCTGTTGCCTGCATAGCAACATGTAGCAGCAGCTCCTTCTCCAGCACCTTGTCTCCTGCACGCTGCCCTGCCCCCCACCACGATGATAATGGACTACACCTCTGAAACTGTAAGCCTCAGTTACATGTTTTCCTTAACAAGAGTGGCCGTGGTCACAGCAGTACAAATCCTGACTGAGACAGAGCTGGAGATCTGAACTCCGGTCCTCTTGCTTGCAGAGCAGTCCCATCTCCCCAGGGTCATGTTCACTTGAAACAGATATGGTGAGGCACACTTGTGAACCCATCACTAGGGAGGAAAAGGCTAAGTTTGAGGCCAGCCTGGGCTACTTTGAGATTGTCTCAGAAACAACTCCACCCTCCAAAATATATATTCAACATTTTTTCTTTAATTTTTAAAAAAATCATGTGTAGGGGACTCAGTGTTTAAGAGCACTGGCTGCTCTTCCAGAGGACCCGGGTTCAATTCCCAGCACCCACATGGCAGCTAACACCTGTCTGTAATACCAGTTCCAGGGCTTCTGACCCCCTCACACAGACATAAATGCAGGCAAAACACTAGTGAACATAAAAATTTTTTAAAAAACATTTTTATTTTATATATATGAGTATTTTGCCTACATGTATGTCCGTACACTCATGTGTGCCTGGTGCCTGTGGCAGTCAGAAGAGGGCATTAGATACCCTGGACCTAGACTACAGGTGACTGGGAGCCGCCATGTGGGTGCTGGGGAACTGAATTCAAGTCCTCCGGAGGAGCAGCCAGTACTCTCAGACATGGAACCATCTCTCCAGCCGTCCTTTATTCTTTAATTTTTGCAAATCTGTGAGTTCTTTTCACCGAATTGGCAAATGTTTAAGACTGTCTTTATCTTTCCAAAGTTTTGCACTTAGTTTTAGAAAAAATATGCTAATTTCATGACATGTTATTAATAAGCACTGTTGGTACAAGCAAGTTTAAAAATGTAACTGGCTTGTACTCATGGTAACTTACAGCCCACTCTATAAGGAAGAGCAGGACTGTATTAAAGAAATGTTTAGAGAAAGACAACAGCTCATGTCTGTGTCACAGGAAAGCACTGGGCGGGGCAGGAGCGGAAGAGCCGCCTGCCAAGATACTGCTTTTATTCTTTTTAAATGTGGATGGGTACTTTGTCTGTATGTGTGTCTGTGTGTCATGTACATACATGTCTAGTACCTTCAGAGGCTAGCTAGGAGAGGATGTCGGATCCCTCGGGACTGGAGTTACAGATGGTTGTAAGCTGCCATGTAGGCGTTGGAAATTGAACATTAGTTCTCTCAAAGAGAAGCCAGTGTCCCAACCACTGAGCTTTCTCTTCAGCTCCCAAGAATCTCTCTTTTTTTTAATTGATTATTATTTTTTTTTTTTTTTTCAATGAAATTAGGTCTGGAGAGGTGACTCAGCAGGGAAGAGCATTAGTTGCTCTTGCAGGGACCTGGTTTGATTTTCTGGCAACCATGATTCCTAGCTCACAACCATCTGTGACTCCAATTCCAGGGTCTCCAATGTCCTTTTCTGACCTCCACAGGCACAAATATGCACAGTCATGCAGACAAAATGACCATATACATAAAAGTGAATAAATCAATAGAGTGAGCTTTTTTAAAAGTATGGCTGACGAGATAGTTCAATTAGTAAAGTGTTTGCCACACAGACATGAAGACTGACTTAGGTTTGGGTTCCCAGAACTTGTATAAAAGTCCAGACACAGTGATCCGTGCATGTTGACGCCAGCCCTGCGGGAGGCAGAGACAGGTGAACCCCTCAGGCTTGGTGAGAGACATCTCAAAAAAAAAGAAAGGTTGAAGCTGGGACTGATGGCACATATCTTTAATCTCAGCACTTGGGAGACAGACAGGTGGAGCTCTGCATTTAAGGCTAGCCTGGTCTCCAGAGTGCATCCCAGGACAGCTGTGGGACACAGAGAAAGCCTGTCTGGAAGCCAAACAAACAAAAAGATGGGGTACAACTGAGAAAGACACTTAGTGTCTGCCTCTTGCCGCAGTCAGGTGTACCCAACGAAACACACTTGTGCACACACCACACTCATAAGCGTTACACACCACACCACTCGCACACAAAAGAGAAAGGAGAATGAATATATATTTTAAGACAGTGTCTCACCTTCAGTCTTGAACTCACAGCAGTCCTCTGCCTCAACCTCTGAGTTCTGGGATTATAGGTTTGAACCACCATGTCCAGTTAAAATACCTTTTTGTAACGATTTATTTATTTTCATTTTATGTCTATGAGTGTTTTGCCTGCTTGAGTATCTGTGCACCATGTGTGTAGTGCCCACAAAGGGCAGAAGAAGGACTGGAATCTTGGAATTCATGCTACAGGTTGTTGTGAGCTGCATGTGAGTGCTCAGAACTAACCTAGGACCTCTACAAGAGCAGCAACTGCTCTTAACCACCCCGCCACCTCTTCAGCCCTGACTTCACCCTTTCTGGTCCTCCTCCACCTAATTTCTGTAGTAGTGGGGATTGAAATTGTTTTTGGTTTTTGGGGTTTTTTTTTTTTGGTTTTGGTTTTTCAAGGCAAGGTTTCTCTGTATAGCCTTGGCTATCCTGGATCTCACTCTGTAGACCAGGCTGGCCTTGAACTCAGAGAGATCTGCCTGCCTCTGCCTCCCAAATGCTGGGATTAAAGGTGTGCACTGCCCGGTGCTTGTTTGTGTGTGTATCTTTTTTAAAATTTTTATTTGTTATTGGTGTGTGTGTGTATGATGTTTGTATATGAGTATGGGTTTGTGCTTGTCATAGTGTGTATGGAAGTCCAAGGAAAACTTTTGAGAGTCACTGTGTTATATGGGCATTGAGCACTAATCATAAGGTTGGTGTGACAAGAGATTTTACCTGCTGAGCCATTTCAATGGCCTGTTTACATAGTTTTTAATAGATTTATTTATAGTTATCTTTGTAGCTAATTTCATTATTTTTTTTTAAATTATTTTGATAGTAGGGACTGAACCCAGGGCCTTAGCAGACATTCTGACAACTGAGTTAGATCCCCAATAGTTGGTCGCTATTATATGTTACCTATTACAGAATTCATTACTTTTGTACTGTTCTTATACCATGCAACTTTTATTAATATTAATGATAAGTATATATATGAATTTAACAGTTTTGGTTTTTCTTGTCCAGCCAAACCACACACCATACTTAGATTTTTAGAACAATAGTAACAAAATATACAGGCTAAATTGACAATGCTTTTTAAATTAACATGGTTCAGTGGTTAGGAGCACATACTACTCTTCTAGAGTACCTGGATGCAATTCCTAGCACCCACATCAGGCACTCAAAACCACCTCTACCTCCAGCTCCAGGGATAGCTGACTGCTTTGGCACCTGTACCCAAGTACACACACACACACACACACACAAAATTAAAAAGTTGGATACTTACTTCAACTTAATTTTCATGCCTATTTTATGTCTTCTAGATGCTGAATACACAAATTCACCATTGCCACCTAAATTATGCACTCCTGGTTTGAAAATTCCGTCTACAGTGAACAGTGGAGCTTTGGTAAAGTTCTACTAAAGTTAAAAACTGTCATCTTCCTCCTTAGGACTCAGACATGACTTCTGGACTCAGTGTCCATAACAGACGAGATCAGTGAAGCTCTTAGGAATACATGTGCAGTGCATTCTGGGGAGTAGTTAGGCACCATCGATGAGGACCCATAGATTTTTCCCTATCATGTCAAAATCTGTTCAAGGGGAATTGAGACAGATTTATAGAATAACAATATAGATAGGAGTACAGAAATGTAACAGCTAGTGAGAAAGTGAGCACATCTAAGAGCTGATGCCAAGGGTCTGTCACGATCTAAATACTGGATGGCCAAGCAAAAAGAACATTTACAAGAAATTCGATGTCCTTGAAGATAAATGATTATATACACGCATATATTTTAAGAAAAAAGAATGGACCGGGTGGTGCTGGTGGTGGTGCAGGTGGTGCACACCTTTAATCCCAGCACTCAGGAGGCAGAAGCAGGTGGATCTCTTTTGAGTTTGAGGCCAGCCTGGTCTGCAGAGCAAGTTTCAGGACAGGCTCCAAACCTACACAGAGAAACCCTGTTTTGAAACATCCTCCCCTTCCTCCACCCCGCACCCCAAAGAAAAGAAAGAAAAAAGAATGAGTAGAAACAGATCAGAGTGGTTCTCCCTAGGTAACAGATTTTTAGGTAATTTAATGTCTCCCTGGCTCAGTTTTCCCTGTTAACTTATTTAACATAATCAAAACCTTCCTGGTGAGACAGCTTCCTTAGTCAAGTAGGACAGCTGAGGTACCCAACAAGACTGTTGATGGTCGGCCTGCTGTCATTTTCAGTGTTCAGTGTGGCAGCCACTACTCAGGCAGTGTTTAAGCACCTGCACTGTAGCTTGGTGCACCCGAGCTATGACTAGTAATACGAGACAGGGCATCTGTAGATAGTTCTTTTTAACAGGCTGGCTGCCTGCAGGTACTTGCCACTTCGGTTCAGTTACATCTCTTGTTGTGTGTGTGTTTGCTCTGTTTAAGAACAAGGGTTTCTTGTAACTCAGAGTGGCCTTGACCTTGCTTTATAGTTGAGAATTGACTGTGACCTCCTCTCATGCTCTTGCCTGCACCACCACGCCCCCTTGTGTTTCTGTCCCTGTGGAAGGCACCCTATTGCTGCCGTATTTCTCACCACTCTTTCTTTCTTAACGTGAGATAAGTGTATGCTGAGCATCTCTTAGATGCATGTATGCAGACAGCATATAGGAAGATTCTATTCTTCTGTGCTGGGCTTTGATGTCTGGCCCAGACTAGCCTCTCCTCCTTTTGTTCTCTTCTCTACCCTTAGCACCTAAATTCTGCACTCACAGCTTTGGTAAAGTTTCATAAGTTAAAGCTCTAATCTTCCTCCTTAGGACTCAGACACCGCTACCCACTTGAGCTCGCAACGGGCTCAGTTTGGTACGGCCTGAGATGGGATAGGATGGGATCTGGGGTTCAGCCACTGTTCTTTTGAGTTCTCCCCGAAGCCTGTATTAGTAGTGAAGATGGGACTTTGTCTTCTATGTACGATTTTCTTAATTTGGGTAGAACTCAGTCAGGAAAGTGGGATCATTTGGGGCCTGCTTTAGTAGACTCCAATAGAGCTAATTAAGTAAAAATGTATTTACAACACTATTTACTTACCATAATTCAATGATTTATTTTTATTCTGCAGGTATATAAAAATTATCCAAAACCAAATAGTTCATCAAGTGATTTGGAAGTTAAAGACTGTGATCCATTAATTTTAAATTCAGATGAATGCTGTGAGAATTTTGCAGACCCCCCTTCTACAATTACTTCTTGTGAAAATATCAGAACACCTTCTCCTCCAGAAGTCACTGCAATTCCAGAAGATATTCTCCAGGTTATTGCCAGGCTGTTTTCTTCTAATATTTTCAAAATTATATATTTGTGTTAGAGAACTGAAATTGCATATAAACTGTCATATTTACCATCAAGCCAATATGTGACTTTGGGTATTGAGAAAATCCTTAAGGTTTTCCTGCACCAGATACCAGTTCCTAAATTGGTTTTAGTGATGTTACGCAGGAGGTGTTTTCTCTCTAAATGTGTGTTCTACAGTGTGTGGTTTCTGTTAGTTTTTATCTGTGGCTGCCACTTTGGTTATTCATTGTTCCACTGAAAGTGAGTGCCCTTCCCCCTATTCACCATAGCCTCAGGGTGTCATTAATAACTCAAACTGATTGACGTGATATTAAAATAGCTGACTCTGTAGTATGGCATCAACAACTAGTAGATACTACTGACCGCTCGGACCCTGACTAATCCAGTTATAGTGTTGGCCATCAGTACTTAGTGTAAAGAATCTAAGTGACTCTTCCAGAACTGTCCTGCCTTGTGGGGAGCCATGAGAACAGTAAACTGAGAAAATACCTAATGCCAGTAGAACTGACTCATCCTGCAAGATCAACAAAGGATCTGTTAAATTTTTGTCTTTTTTAAAAATATTTATTGCACTTTTAATTATGTGTATAATCTATGTGTGTCTGTGGGATAGATATATATATATATATACATACATACATACATACATACACACACACACACACCTACCTACCTATAAGTGCAGGTGCCTGAGTAGTCAGAAGAGGGTGTCAGATGCAGAGTTATAGGCAATTGTGAGCTGCCCAAAGTGGGAGCTGGGAACCGAACTCTGGTCCTCTGTAAGAGCAGTGCATGCTCTTACTGCTATCTCCAGTCCCTCCTCCTGACTGCCTGCTTTCTTAGGAGATAAACGAAACAGAACGTCTGTCTTTGTGAGGGCGTGTGTGGAGGGTTAGCATTTCCTGCTGTGGGTTTCTTTATGAGAAGGTAAGGAGACCTCATCTTTGTTTGGTGGTGGTTTGCTTTTCTTACAGTGCTGGGGGTAAAACACTGGGACTATGGTATGATACAGACACACTCTACCTTTTATTACATGCCCAGGGATACCTTACAGTCAGTATGCTGCTTCTAGTTTCTTTCTTTTAATGTTTTAATTAGCATGTGTTAATTATATAAAGTAATGGATTTCATGATTTTTTTCCCCTTTTTGCTTTTTGAGACAGGGTTTCTCTGTGTAGTCCTGGCTGTCCTGGATCTCGCTCTGTAGACCAGGCTGGCCTCGACTCACAGAGATCCGCCTGCTTATGCCTCCTGAGTGCTGGGATTAAAGGCCTGCACAACCACTGCCCAGCTTACATGATAACATTTTCATACATGTACATAACCTATTTATGTCACAGATGCACAAACATCCATTACCTTCTCTGTTAAGAGAGATGGGGGTGAGTGTGTCCTCAAATAAGTTTCCTTAGGGCTGTTTAGGAGTGGCTGTGCCACTGAAGACTGTCTCACCCTCCTCAAATGTCTAGACAAATAGAGGGGAGAGGTAGGGAGGGCCTGTGAGCCTCCCCCTCCATGATGGGTGCTCATTTGCTCAGTCTTGTGGAGACGCAGTGCACATGCTTATAGCCCTTGTGTCCCTTCTCTTCAGTGTGTAGACTTCCTGTCTACACCATCATCAAGACTCAACACGGCTGTCAGGCATTGACTCTAGTACACATGTATTTAGAGTTTAGACATCCTACTTCATGCGAAGTTCATGTTGCTTTCTTTGCTGTTCAGTGTCTGTATGGACTGCTGATATTTTTAAGTATTTTAAATAACCTTTACCTATTCATGGCTCTTCTGCAATGTTTAGAACACCTTCCAGATTTTTCATTGTTTTTGTTTTAGATGTTAACAAAGCACAACTCAAACCTAGCTACTCCATTGGAGGTAAAAGCAATGCCATCCAGGAAAGGCTTCCTCAGGTACGGGGGGCAGAGCATCCGAGGTGCTGCCAATAAGGAAAACTGGTGACGCCACTGCAGAACGCACCTGTGTTACTACCCGAGGCATTTGAGAATGGGTGAGAACGTTAGTGCTGGTTCCCCTTCATTGCCTTGCCAGTGGGGTTAACAGCCTGGCTCCACCTGAGCGTGGAGCCGGCCCTCAAATCTCACGTGCCCAAGTTAGCACGTCTGCTGCTGGTGTGGTAATGAATCTGTTCCTAACTTCCCTTTTTAAAAAATGTTTGTCATTCTTGAAACAGGGTCTTAACTGTATAACCTTGGCTGGCCTGGAACTTGCTACATAGACCAGGCTGGCCTCAAATCACACATCTGCCTGCCTGCCTTGGCACATGCCACCAGCCTCTTCTTTTAAAGATTTCTTGGGTGTGTGTGTGTGTGTGTGTGTGTGTGTGTGTGTGTGTGTGTGTGTGTGTGTGTAAGTATAAAATACTTAGCTACCATATTGCCTTCTGTCCTGATGTCTGTTAACTGTCCTTACTTGGGTTTATTTGTTTCTATTTGTAGGAATTCTAGTGTGGATACATCCAATAAAGAAGCTGGACAGCAACGGGGAAGCAAGCTGGACTTAAGTTTTCTCGAATCTTCTATTTGAAATTTTAGCTGGTTAACACAGAGAGACCAGTGAGATGGAATGAGGGCTCACGGCTGGGTCTTTCTTCTTTCAGTTTTTGTTTTATTTCATTCTTACATTAATGTTTCTGTTCCGCCAGCTTGTGTTGGCCTCTCTAGCTTGGCCACCCAGCAGATCTGAACTTCATTCTTTCTGGAAGTTCTGGACACCTACCCTGAGCCAGGAGCCTTGGGAACATCTTGATTCTAGACCTATCTAATATCCTTCTAGGCCCAAGATTCTTCTGATCCAAGAACAGCTAGAAAGTGGTTCTCTTTAAGTTCATGACAGTGCTTTTAGGAAAGTCTTGCACTGCCACCAGTAGGGGAATGAGGAGCTGGTGTTCTAGAGACCAGCTAAAATTCTGAGAGGAAATAATCGGCAAATACCATCAGGTACTTAATGGGCTTAGGGAATTTTCCTTTTTTTTTTTTTTTTTTCTAACCCCCCGAGACAGGGTTTCTCTGTGTAGCCCTGGCCGTCCTGTGTCCCAGAACTCTCTATAGACCAGGCTGGCCTTGAACTCAGAGATCCATCTGCCTCTGCCTCCCAAGTGCTGCGATTAAAGGAATGTGCCACCACCGCCCAGCAGCTTTAGGAAATTTTGTGTGGCATAAGGATTATTCTAATTATGCATTGGAAATTAAGTGGAAGAATTCCAGGATAATTCTAAGTATTTGTATAAATTTGTTACATAATAAAACGATTTTCAGAGTAAAACTCTAGCCCACCTTTTGTGTGCTGCTGACTCTGAAATTTTTTTCAGCCCTTTTCACTACATGGCGTTTGTGGCCATGAATCCACATAACTGAGAGACTGCTGAGGGGGTGAAGAGTGGCTGGGGAGAAGGCTCCGTGGCTAAGAGTGCTTGTTGCTTCCAGGTACCCATGTGGTAGTTCACATCCATCTATAACTCCAGTTCCAGGGCATCTGATGCCCTCTTCTGACTTCATGGGCACCGGGCACACAGCTGCGGTACACATACTACATGCAAGCAAAACATAAAATACAATGAGTAAATCTAATACAATTTTTAAAGAAAAGTGGGAAGAGCAGAGTGTTCTAGCAAAGGTCAAGAGAGGCTAGTGACGCAGGAAGAAGGATTTCAGGCAGAGCGGTCGTTCGTTTCGGTGCTGCCGAGACTACGGAGGCTTGAGGTTTGGGGGTCAGGGTTGTCAAAGTTGATGTTAATTCTTGACGTGAAGTTTGGGGTGGACTGATGAAAACGGGCTGGGGGGGCGGGGAAAGAGAGCAGGTTTGGGAACTCTGGAGTTTTGCTAAACAGTTAAAAAATGGATGGGGCTAGAAGGGAAAGACAAGACAGGTTTTTTCAAGGTTAGTGGTAGACCTTGGCCCCTCAGACTATATAAATGTGTTCCCCTGAGCTTCACCCTCAGCACTTCCCTACTCGCCATAGCTTGTTACTTGGAATGATGCTTCTAGTTCTCAAGCTGCACACGCTGTGGTCTTTCCAGGGTGTTTTCCCATTGTTCTTTTTAAATGAGATCCAAGATCTTTACTGTGGCCTAGGTGATTGCTCTCCTGCAATGGGTGCCTTAGCCACACCAGTTTTCAGCTTCCTGCCTTGGGTCTTACACTTTTCTGCCGACTCTTCTTCATTCTCTTATGTCTTCAGTTGACAGTTGACATTGTTTGCCTCCTTCTCTACACTTAAGAACTTACGGCTCACTGGGCGATGGTGGCACACACCTTTAGTTCCAGCACTCAGGAGGCAGAGGCAGATGGATCTCTGAGTCCAGGGCCAACCTGGGCTACAGAGCGAGTTCCAGGACAGCCAGGGCTACACAGAGAAATCCTGTCTCGAAAATCCAGGAAAAGAACAACCAAACAGCATAGCAAACTCTGGCACAGTGCTGGGGGATATGTGCAGAGGCACACCTGGAGCCATGTGGAGTGAGTCTACCTGGACACAGCCCACACAGGCCCTACCTAGACAGGTAAGATTCCTCCATTGTGAGCTGGAGGCCAGCTAGCTATGCCAGGGACTTCCCATATAAATGATCATAAACAGCTGTGCTTTACGCTACTTGGAGTTGGTTGTAAACAATGAAGAGGGTTGGTTCCAGATCCCAGCTCTTGAATGCTGTATTGTCTGTCACACTAAGTAGAACTTATACTGTTTATCTGAGTGTAAACTCATATTCACCTCCCACAAGGCTGCCTGCTGGACCCTTGCTTTCTGTGGCTTTTACCCTTGTCTCATGCTTGCTTAACTAGTGATCGTATCAGTTACTGAGATTTTATTGTCATTTTGATTCTAAATGCTGTTTATGTAATTCTTACATTGGAGGTAGGCAGGTGGCATTTCAGAAGAGGAAACAAGCATTATTTTCCTCATGTCCTATTTTACACGGTATTGCAAAGCTCCGATGGTCTCTAAAATCTGGTATGTTCTCTAACTCAGTTCTCACCTTGGCTGCATAATCTGGTATTTCTACCTCCTCCTTTGATTATTGCCAACACTACATAAAAAGTTGATGAGAACCCTGGGGTGTGGCTCAGTGGCTGTGCTTGCCTAACATGTGAAGGACCCTGCGTTTGATTCCCAGCACCACAAAAGGTGCATGTGGCTCTTCTGTTTACTGAGTCCTTTATCTGGAGTAGAAATATCATCTCACATTTTTGGGAGTTGGGACGGGCTCACACCATCTCCAGAATTGTACCACGTGGTTTCAGCAGTTACCTTTTCATGACACTTACTCTTTTCATCCTCATGTTTTAAGGTTCTGTCTCTGATCTTTAAGTCACCTGTTGTCACTGCTGGAAAGTCTGACTGCAGTGAATCAGAAACAAGAAACAGTGTAAGTTTTCTGTCGGTTTCTGATTACTATCTGAAAATTCACCTCATTCACATTCAAATTTTAGTTGGGTACAACCAGACCTCTAAGTCCAATAGCAGGATGTTGAGAAGTTCAAGGCCATCCCGATCTACATAGAGTTCACCAGGACTACAGCGAGACACCATCTCAAAAAATGTTTTTATTTAAGTTACTGTACATGAAGTTTCCTTGGAAGTGGTTAAAGCAGCTGAGTAGGGTTAGGACATCAGAATAGCTTAAGGTGCAGAGCAGAAGGGCAGGCACGTTTCCCTCTATGGAAACAGCTGACACTGGGCTGTGTGCCAAGTTCTCAGTCACCTGGCTAGGCATGCCAGGCAGTGGTGGCGCATGCTTTTGATCCCAGCACTCAGGAGGCAGAGGCAGATCCATGAGTTCAGAGCCAGCCTGGTCTACAGGGCAAGTTCCAGGATAGCCAGGGCTATACAGAGAAACCCTGTCTTGAGAAACCAAACCCAAAATGTCTCACCACAGCACCTTTCCAGGGTAATGACTGTAACATTCCCAGATGAACTGCTTATTAAAATGACTTGTGTTTAGTATTAATAATGCTTTGTGCCGGGTGTAGTCCCCCATGCCTTTGATCCCAGGATAGAAAGCAGAGGCAGGTCAGATCTCTGAATTCTAGGCCAGCCTGGTCTACACAGTGAGACCTTATCTCAAAAACAAGGGCTACAGAGAGCACTTGTTTTTTTTTTTCAGAGGAGTTTGGTTCCCAGCATCCACATGCAGACTCACAGCTAATTGTCTGTAGTGCCAGTTCTGGGGGTCTAACACTACCGTCTGACCTCTAAGTGGACCATGCATCCACATGATAGACATATGCAGGCAAACACTCACACATCAAATAAAAATTGTATGTTCAGATGCTCTGTGGGCCAGTGAGATGGCTCAGTGGGTAAAGGTGCCTGCTACCAAGGCTGACAACCTGAGTTTGATCTCTGAGACTCAATGGTGGGAGCAGAGAACCAATTCCCAAGAGTTGTCCTGACTCACACTCCCCTTCCTCCAAACAAATAAATAAATAAATGTAATTTATCTCAATCTTAGGTTTTAGCTTACTGCCCCTAGGAATTTCCTCATTTGGGGGGAAAAAAGAATCTAATTTTTGTCTTCCAAGAATGGTTACCTGGTCAAGATTAATCCTAATAGGATAAATACTTTTAGAAGCTTATTTGATTGCCAGCCCTAGGAAATCATAGCCATTGGCAAGTGTTTAAGGCAACAAACCAGACAAGCCGTCATTCTGCTACTCTCAACCACCTTCAAGGTGAAAACTACAACCATGTATTTTAAGATTGGAGTTTGCAATTGTGTATGAATTCAATAAAGAAGGGTCAGGGTCAGTTAACACAAATGCCTCTCTTGAACTCAAGAGGCACAGCCTTACCAAGTAGAGAGAAGTCAGTCACCGCACCTCAGCTATGGAGGTTTGAGATGGTGCTTGACAGTATGTTCTGTGCAGTATCTGGAACAGCTAAGCCGTCCCACATAAGCTAGAAACCAGTAGGACAAGTCCAGTTCTTCATGTCAGTCACTATTTAACTCTCCCCCTCCTCACTCACCCTTCACACACATGTGCCAGCATGCACATTTACACATCTAATACTGAAACAAATGTACCTAGTCAGTGACTTACCCACTCAGCCATCTCACCTGCTGCTCTACAGGCACTCATCTAAAGCTTTCACAGTTCTCCAGCACTTCACAGGACACGCTTCCTTTCAGCTCTCCCTCCATTCTCAGCTCTCCCAGGTAAGCCTCACTGGAGCCTAGGCTCTGGCTCATTTCCTCTCTTGACTACATGCATGCTTGGTGCCGAGGTCAAGAGAGGGGGGTCAGAACCCTAGGACTAAAGTGACAGAGTTGTGAGCCATCATCGGACTAGGACCTGGGTCCTCTGCAAGAGCAGCAAGTGCTCTTAACCTGAGCCATCTCTCCAGCTCTTACCACCTATTTTATCTTGGGTTACCAAAGTGAGCCAAACTTTTCCAACATAAATAAGATGGTTTCTTCAGCTTGTCTTACTCACACAGGCCTACAGTCTAATGCCACAAACATATACTGCACCTTTTTATACAACCCCATGGCTTTCTTGCTCTGCCTCTTTAGGGCTTAAAATGCCCTCTGCTGCTTAGTAGAAATCCATATGTGGTGAGACTCTGTTCCCAGGTCTCCATTAACTTTCACACCTGGGCTAATTGCATACATGTATTTCACAATAGTTTTATATAGAATGCTAAGAGCACTTTTCTTCATATTTTACAGAAGGGCTTAAAACATACAGACTTTAATATACCAAAGTACATCCAACTCTAATTCCTAAATAAATGTGTTACAATTTGCTTAAAATTTAAAGGCTTAATGGCAAGGTTCAAGGGAGGAAAAGATTAAGTAAGTTTATTTTACAAACTGGCTGAAAAATAACTTCAAGAAAGTCAATAGAATTCAATACGGTCTCATCCGTCCTGAAGGAGGTGCCCGATTTGGAGGCGTGATGGCTATGTCCAGATAATCCCCTATTTGGAACTTCTGTGACTGCAGGGTCATGGAGTCATCAGTGCCCTTCCTGCCAGACATGGTGCTGCCAATCTCCTTAACTCTGCAGGAAAGGAAGTCAACTGTTAATAGACTAGAAATGCATCAAGGGAACATATGGACTAGAGAACATGAAATGATCTCCATACAACAAATTTACAGAATTTAAGTACTACATTCAAGCTAAGTCAGATCTGACTCTAAGGCTGCTGTGGATATCGCTCTGTATAAATAAAACACTGATTGGCCAGTAGCCAGACAGGAAGTATAGGCGGGACTAACAGAGAGGAGAATGGAGGGAACAGGAAGGCGGAGGGAGAGACTGCATGCAGCCGCTGCCGGGACAAGGAAGATGTAAGGTACCAGTAAGCCACAAGCCACGTGGCAAAGTATAGATTAATAAAAATGGGCTAAATATAAGAGTAAGAGCTAGACAATGATAGGCCTGAGCTAATGGCCAAGCAGTTTAAATAATATAAGCGTCTGTATGTTTATTTTATAAGTGGGCGAAGGGACTGCCGGGGCTTGGCGGGACCTGGAAAGAACTCTCCAGCTACAGAGGCTATAGACACCACCACTGCCACTCAAGAGGGCCGCTAAAGGGATTATCCCAAAGCCAAGCATGGCGGCATATTCCTGTAATTCCAACACTGAAGCCTGAAACAGACTGATAGCTTTTATCAGAGGGGGGAGAGGAGGCACGGCTTTGCAAACTACAGAGATATCAGAAATTAAAGTAACAAGTCACCTACCGATATCCAGGTCTTTTAAGATCCATAAAAACAATTGCAAAATTGAAGTGTGTGCCCTTCTTTCTGGCTTCTGGGTAGACTTCCTTTACTAAACTAGTCAGTTCTTTCAAGGTTGCATCCATCCTAAATTTTTTTAAAGGATAATATGATTAATAAACATTAGTATAACAAAGACATAAAAACAAGTTGTATTCCAGGGCCTCACATTATATGATTTACTGGCAAGATGGCCTGGCAGGGAAAAGGACATTTGTCACACAATCCTGGAAACCTGTGTCAACCCAAGCAAAGGTCAGAAGGAGAGAACCAACTCCACAGTTGTGCTCTGACCTCTTCTAGCATTTCATGGCATGTGAGCAAACACAACTAATATTTTAAAAAAATATTTTCCTCTGAATATTTCCTGTGGTGGCTTCAATGCTAAAAATATCAATAAATTAATCTTGTTACAAGTTAAGGAAAGTCCCACATAACCTCTTCTAAAGCTACATAACATCATCTAGTCAATGATGTACTTACCTAGAAGAAACCAGTCCAAGTTATTCAACTACACAAACTGTTTTAATTTCTAAAATACATAATCTCTCATACATTATAGCCCCTGAAATTGGAATGCACCTTAGAATCAATGTGCTAAGGTAGCATCTTCATAAGGATATGCAATTTCTTGTTCTCTAACAGAACTCTTAATGATGGAGGCAGGCAAGATGGCTTAGCAGGTAAAGAAAGGGGCTTGCTGCCAAGCCCGATGACCTGAATTCAATCCATGGAACCCACAGGATGGAAAGAGAGAAGTAACTCCCGCCACCTGTCCTCTGGCCTCCACACATGTACCATGACACTCCTACATACCACATGTACACACAAGAGTGTAATGAAAAGTTGCTGCCAGTGAGATGGTTCAGCAGGTAAAGGCACTTGCTGCACAAGCCTGGTCCTGAGTTCAAGCCCCAGAATTCTCAAGTAAATGTGGAGAAAACATATTCCAAAAGATGCCCTCAGACCTCTACAAGTGCTATCGTACTTGCACAGTACACAACACAACACAAAATAATAAAAAGTCATTTTTTAATGATGGAATCCTAAAGCCAAGGACATGAAATTTTAAGACAAACTATGGGCTCCTTTTACAACATAAGCCATTATTAACTTAAAAATACTTATCTGAACAAAAAAAAAAAAGAGGAGTAGGTGGGGGGGCAGAGGGGGAGGGAATGGGAGGAGAGGAGGGCGGGGAAACTGGTTAGGATGTAAAATAATTAAATTTAATTAAATACACTTATCTGAACTCAGAACTAAAGATAGTCCTTTGGGCTAATATACACAACCTAGAACAAAGTAACTGAAAACGTGAACACCTTAGCAACTTTGAACAACCTAGTTCCCATTTATATTGTTTCTGCCCATAACAATGAGAAAAGTGAAATGCAAGTGTAAACTTAAAACAGCATTTTGTGCAAAGTCCTAAAAAAACAACACCACCAACAAAAGCCGGCAGAACATTAGACACTTAAGAATGAGAACACTAGCCGGGGTGGCGCACGCCTTTAATCCCAGCACTCAGAAGGCAGAGCCAGGTGGATCTCTGTGAGTTTGAGGCCAGCCTGGGCTACCAAGTGAGTTCCAGGAAAGGCACAAAGCTACACAGAGAAACCGTGTCTCAAAAAAACCAAAAAAAAAAAAAAAAAAAAAAAAAAAGAACACTAAAAAAAACAAAACAAAAAAAAGATGTATAATACATCTTTATGATGTATTATCATAAAGATACACGTTAGATCAGACACTTGAGAATGAGAACACTGATGTAATAGTACCAAGGAAGAGAACCACAGAGCCCATTGCATTTTCACTGTGAACTTTACAAATCCACACCACCATAAGGTACTTGGGGTGTAAATACCCAGGATGACCACATTCTCAATATTCCCGTACTAGAATTCAGTCTTTCAGAACATGCCTTCTGCTAGCCCGATTAAAAAAAAAAATTTTACCACCACTCATTGAGCTGCCCAATCAATCGCCCTAGTTTAAGCCTTTCCAAGTCTTCCCTTCTTCATCTTGTTACACACATTCTGGTTATCTCTAGCTCTTAAACACAGATAAAAACCCATTTCCCTCCTCCTTCAGCTGTGCTCAGTTCTTTTCTAAAGTTTCCAGGCTTTTTTGTCTTTGTTGTTTTCTGACCAGGCCTTCATGCACAGAGCCAAGCAACTTACCATTGAGCTACCCCCTCAGCTCCAATCTATAAACTGCTGTGAAGTGGCACCTGTTGTCACCTCTAGGGGAGGGTCTCTGCATGCACAGTACAGCACAGCATGCCAATGTCTGACACCTGCTAAGTCCCAGCCTGTCAGGCTAATAAGTGACTTGTAGGTGTTATAGTCACCAAGAAAGACATTCCTTGTATTATCATAAAGATACACGTCAGATCAGCAAAGGCTCCCCCAAGCTGGCATCCCTCCCTCCCTCCAGGCATGGCCCACCTGCTTCCTGCCCACTGGGAACAGACAAAGCAGTGGTACAAACACACTTAAGCAGAACAAGCAAGTATACAAGCCTCTCAAGTGCTGGGATCAAAGGTGCCTGCCACCACCACTCGGCCTAAAACTAAAAAAAATTTTAAAAGATATTGTGGGGATTGGGAGGAGGGATACTGAAGAGCTGGCTCGGCAGTTAAGAGCACTGGATGCTCTTGCAAAGACCCTGTTTCAATTCCCAGCACTGACATGGCAGCTTACAACCATCTGTAACTCCAGTCCAGGGATCCAACACCCACTTCTGACCTCAGTGGGCAACAGGCATTCATGTGGTGCACACGCACACATGCAGGCAAAACACCCATACACATAAAAAAATAAAAAATTGAAAGATATCATACTGAAACTATGACAAAAATATATAGTTCATGCTAAGTATATTTCAAATAAAATCTTATTTTCTCAGAAGAAATGTAGTTCACTGTGTAGTCAAATGAGTTGT